TTGCTGTATCTGGCCATTAAGGCGGGCACCTGGTACCACCAATCCGGATCGCCTTCCCCATCCACCTTGCTCCCCGTTGGTATCTCAGCCACCGATGTCCCTGTCTTCCGTCGGAGGACATCTTCTAACCATTCTACGCGTTTCTGAAGATTCTCGAGCTGGTCGCGAGGGACGGAGGCGCTGGCGATCTGCGGACCAGGTGGTGGAACAGTACATCGGACACCGGCGCGAGTACACGCAGAACAATTGGGATATCGGAAATCGCATTTTTTCTTGCGTTTGCGACAGAAATCACACGCGGTGGAGACGCGTTTGGGGCGGGTGCCGTGAGAAGGCTGCAGCGGGGAAGCAGCACTGGCGGTGGAGGAGTTGGGCGGTGGAAAAAGAGGAGGCACGGATCGAGGCTGCAACTGGGACTGGGATGAAGAAGAGGACGGGTGGAGAGGAGGAAGCGAAGTAACGACGGACTCGAGTCGGAATTTGCCCAACTGATCGCGAAACTCCTTGTCCCTGGCGGTCGTGCCGTTGGCCATTGTGGTTTGCGGTCAGTGTCGAAAGGCGGAGATCACGCTCGGACGAGAGGCCATAGTGATCCGACGCCAAGAAAGATGGTGGAAGTTTAGTGATCAATCATAAGTGATGGTGAGGAAGATTCATGTATTGTCGTATTGACTGAAGAATGTGGTTTGACGGAGAGCTGTTGTTGGCTGGAAGAGGAAATGGAAATGTTGCAGATACGGAGTAATCGGCGATAGAGTTGGAACCGAGACTAGGAATGTTGGAAGAAGCAAATACTGCCAGTCAAGAGCAAGATAGCAGCGTTACATTGACCTAATGATTATTTGCATTCACCGGGTGCATTTTTTCCTCTATTGAAAATAGAATTCACTGTCCAGGCGTAGAGATCTTGGTTTGGTTGGATTTGTCCCTCATGAATGCGACTTCTCTGTGCCTGCGGACTGTCAATATATTCTCCAGCATGTTCTCCATCAATGACCCCCGTAAGGAACGAAGCAAATCCACAGCCAAGGCGGCACCCATTTCTTGTCTTCAGCAGTTACAAGGGTACAAGGGTCTGTCTCTGATCTGAACCAGTCAATCCATCAATTATTTAGGCTAATCAGTCGTTGCCATTCGATCGACCCGCTCATCGCTCGTTATTTTGTCACGCCCTCGAGGCCTCGACCCCCTCCCTAAGAGAGTACCTTTAAGCGAGACGTTGCAAATCAGGTTCTTTCAACTCTGCACGATGAGACCTCGTCTCCCCTGACTAGTTCGGGGGCCGACGGGTTTCATCAACCGATGCGGAGGTGTCCCTCGTATTCATCCGACGATCATCTTCACTGCCGAGTGAGATCCAGCAAATCGCGAAAAATGCCGCTATCAATGCAGGAGGTTATCAAGGTAGTATCCCTGGGGTCTATTTTGGGGTGATCGACATCGTATTCGCCCTTGAATGCGACAATACAGGCGTGGAGCAGAATATTCGGCATATCGCCGAGAAGATAAATAGGAGTCTTTGTCCGGCAGACCAAGTCTGTTCTGATCGCTTTTTCAGACACAATCAATCAACATGATGCTCGATCTGAAGCAGATTGCGGCCGTCCTCCTGGCTTCGGCCTCTGTGGTCCAGGCCACCGTTCAAGGCTTCGATATCTCCCACTACCAGGCCAACGTCAACTTTGCGGCGGCATATAACTCTGGTGCTCGCTTCGTCATGATCAAGGTTTGTTTCTTATATGCTCACTTCTATACAGATACGGGGTCCTGACCATTCTAGGCCACCGAAAGCACCACCTACACCGACCCTTCTTTCTCCAGCCATTACACCGGTGCCACCAAAGCTGGTTTCATTCGCGGTGGCTACCACTTTGCCGTCCCTAATGACAGCAGCGGCGCCGCTCAGGCCAAGTACTTCCTTGCTCACGGTGGAGGCTGGTCAAACGACGGCATCACCCTTCCCGGTATGCTGGACATCGAGTACAACCCCTATGGCGCCACATGCTATGGACTTAGCGCCTCTCAGATGGTCTCTTGGATTTCCGATTTTGTCAATACCTACAAGAGCAGCACCGGTCGGTATCCGATGATCTATACCACCGCTGACTGGTGGAACACCTGCACGGGCAACAGCAAATCATTTACTGATTGTCCCCTGGTGCTGGCTAGGTACTCCAGCTCCGTGGGCACCATTCCGGGCGGATGGCCGTACCAGTCGTTCTGGCAGAACTCGGATAGCTATACCTATGGCGGGGACTCGGATATTTGGAATGGCAGTCTTGAGAATTTGAAGAAGCTAGTGCTTTAGCAGTTATCTCAAAAGGAAAACATTTCATTTTTTAGTAAAGGTTTATCTAGTTATCACTCTGTAATAGTGTCTTCCATAACTTCATCGTCTTGAGTACTAGTATCGGTGGATTCAGATGCAGTGACTATGTCAGATGAAGGCGTAGTGACTGACTCTGATGAAGTCTCTACCAAAGATACTATATGTCCAGTTCCTTATGTTAAAGATGTTTCCAACCACTGACTCCCTCGGTCTCTGCAGGCACAACAGCATAAATAGACAGCCGACCGATCGTTTGCAACAAGCTTTATATCCGATTCTCCCTTGTCCATCTACTGTCAAGACCGTTCGAATCACAATGACGGCAAACACGAAAGGCAGATGCTGCTGTAAGGAATGCCGTAAGATACGCCGTCGAGTGCTGTAGACCTGCGGTATCTGTTCCTGTTGGTCCCGTTGGAGGTTTCAACATAGGGTTTGCTGACGCTGTAATGGATTCCATCGCCGTGAGACCTGCGATGGAGCTTGCTGGGTTAAGTTCTGCAGAGGAGACGTGTACTTCTAGATTGTAAGCTTTGAGACATTTCGCTCTTGCTCTTTTGTTCAATGGTAATAGAGAGGGCGAGAAAGATGGGAGATGAGAGTGGAAAAAAGGCGCAAGATAAGAGTCCAGCTCCCATGGATCTTTGGAAACTCGCCGTTCGGGACCCTCCTCGATGAACGCACAAGACGTTTGTCTTGTTATCTGTTGTACTCCCCTTGCAATCCCTAATCCTTAATCACGTTGTATCCGATGTCCTGGTCCTTCCGCGGCAGGGCTGAACACAGGATCCCACACAATGCCAAACGAAGTGGCTCCGGTTCGCCAGAAGCTCATCAAGACCGAAAATCGCATGCAGCATTTATCTATGCCGGACATAGTTTCTCTTCCAAGAGTCCCCTTGTATGACGTAATCTGGCTAATTGTGGTGACGAGGGCTGTCAGCATCTATGTCTGCTCGCGTTTGCAGTAGAGGTGAGTCGGGGAGTTCACTCTTGCATTTGCGGCTTTCGACAGGATATCGGGCGGATACATTACGAATGCTTCTTGGCTTCGGCACTAAGCGGCAGAGCCGTTTGCATTACATTTGAATAATCGTATGGTAGTTCCAATCAGATATAGAACAGTTGACTTCTTGTTTAGCAGGACACCTGACTTGGTGGGTAGAGGGGGCTCTTGCTGTGTGCACTACCCAGCTTTGCACAATTTGGGAACAAGATTAGTCTATCGGTACTCAAAAAGTCATCAAACAGATCCCTCTGCTTCAAGCTGGATAGGGTGTGGTGGAACAAAGACAGACAGGGTTGAATCAAGGGAACGTGAAGCAATGGATATGGGCCTCATTCCGTGAATCAATCGATGAGTGTCGTCACTGATCCCAGATCCGAGAAGGAATTGCTGAGGAGACGTGAATTAATGGGATGATCCAGAGATTCCACGTGCCTGTGACGGACCTTGCGTATTATCTGCCTACTAGTGATTTATACTCACTCGGCGCCCGTCCACAACGTATCATCTTCTCTTCCCTTCTCGCTCACCTCTCTATCAAGCAACCCACATGTATCAAACATGTCTCTGTTCTTGGAAGGGCACAGACTTTTCAAACCCACGTATGTTATCCTTGACAAAGTGATCCGCTCCAGACAAGGAAGTACCGAAGCGAAAGGGCAAACTTCCGGGGAGATTTGGCCTTGATCATCTTCCTCATTGCCTTTGGTGAGAGATACGTCAATCAGTTACCATCAGTCACTCAGTTACATCAAGCCTTGCACTCCCATCAAGTCACTATTCCTGAATCAATCTCCATCGCGAGCGTGGAACTCTCGGTTATGTGGACATTACATGAACCGACCGGCCAACGAAGGCGTGCGCTCCGTGAAATTCTGGTCGCTCTCACCATATCTGGGGGAACACATAGACAAGTGCTCGTATGCTGATTTCTTCTGCTGATAAGTTGTGCTGGTCGCTGATATTAGACATTTACAGGATATACAAAACTCCTTTTTGGCAAGCTAGAACCCTCGGCTCTCGACATCCTCGAGTAGCTGATCTTCCAAGCCGCCAGCCCTTCTGTGTATCAGCCATCGTTGTTGTACCTCCTCGAAGTGAAATGATTTTGCCCTATGCTTAGAGAAGCAACGAAATGCCAAAGTGAAGTATAGATTATCCCATTCGTTGGGCTTGTGCTTTGCTAACCTATCAATAAATCAAGACCACATTCAACAAAGAAGGCTGATGGCAGGCGAAATCCTCTCCGCGCCAACCTTCACATTACAGGCATTGTTGCGGTCGAACCAAGGCCGGACCCACATGAGTCGTTTTTGCTGCTGCCCAGACTTCTGTCCGGCGTGCCCAATGAGTCAGCAACATACAGATTGCAGATATATGAAGTTGCCAGAGAGTTCGAAGCGCATCGGGTGTCGACTGATGCTCATATCGAGGCGGCTATGTCGCGCTTGTGATGGCTTGAGCTTTTGCTGCACGGCTTCGCTCAAAAGTGATTCAATCAGCTCATACGGAAATGTCAACGAGTGTCAGAAATATCAAGACCCTTTTCAGTCTAAAGTTCTGATGTAGATCTAGCATTTGAGCTAGCAACTGGACAAAGAACAGGAGATCGCCAGAGAGAGGCTGGAAATCAATGATTAAAGATATATCGTATTATCGTTGCATCTAAACTATCAGCAGCTCCTTGAGTGAAAATTCAGGCAACTGGAACTTGACATCCCACTCATACACAAACTGCCACTCCCACTCTTCTCCATCATTCGAGGCCACAACAACAAGCAATGGGCCCTTAGCTTCCCCCTGGTACGGGAATGGCCGGGGAGGAAACACAGCTCCAGAAGCCAATCGCTCTCGAAGGGCGGGTAGCAAGAGAGCAACCCAGCGATACCGTTTAAGGAGCGGTGCAATTATGGAGCGAATGTTGAGAAGACTCCTCAGATCCATCTTTGCGTTTGCACCCCCGTTGTAGACCTTATAGTAAGCATCAACATGGGACTTCGCCTCATAAGTATACAACGAGAACCAGATCGGAAGAGCTTTAGAACGGCGGATCGGGCACACAAGCCATTCCGCTTTGAAGCCTTCTGCTCCTATTAGACCGGCTACGCTGTTCTGACCATCAAAGGCGGGATATTGCTTCCCATCGGATGTGTCGGCCGTCGGGGGCACGAGATTCGGGCGTGATGGCGCCCAGCTTAACCCGCGGCCCTTGAGCCGCGGAGCACTAGACACGAGAAAGCCGGTTGCTAATGGTTGTCCCACTGTTGACTTCCAAAAATCCACGGCCGTCTTTACTACTTTGTTCGAGCCGCAGACCAGATTCCAGATCATGATCACGTCTCGGTCCTTGGTGGCGTGTCTGTGGTTCAGGAAGCAAGTGGCTTGCTCTGTCGTGACAGGTTCTTGATCCAAGAGCTTGTAACGCTCATTTTGGGTAGGGGTGTAGTGTTGAATGGCTAAGCAGGGCGATACAAATCCGAGACTACTTTTTGATAAGACGTCGGAGAGGACGTCCACCAGGGAGATGACACGATTGTCTTTGCACAGTATGTGAAGCTTCAACCGCCCTCGCATTCCTTCGAGAAGGGTCCACGCACGAACATTCCAGTCGCAAACAACGATTGTTGCTAAGATGGCCTCCTTCGCCTGTAGAGTCAGTGGATTAATATCAATCTCCATGAGGTCTCTATCGACCAGCAGGGTGACCTTGCTATTGATGAAGTTGCTATTTATCTGGGCGATCGCCTCGTCTCGGAGCTCGTCATCTGTTGGAATACAAGGCGTGTCCATCCAGTAAGACGTGCATCCAAAGGATCGAGCCAGTGCGGTATATCTCCGGTGGAGGCATATGTTGAACCCAGTCTCAGGTCGCCCCCCTGCGCCGTGGGACCATACATGAGACACAGCCATAGTCTCAGCGGACACGGGACGGTATCGAATGGATTTCTCATCAGTCTCCTCCAGACAGACTGCCCTCGCTCCGTTGATGCTCCTATAAGACTGCTCATCCCAGACTAAGAAACTGCAAGCAGAACCAGGACACTCGAAATCGTGAGCAGATTGAATCTGGACACCCTCGGACTCAAATCTCTGGCAGTTTCCCGGCGCTTTGCCGTCACACAGCCTCGACCTACCATGTCCAGCAGCAAGGTTACAGCGGGGCGCACGGTCGCCAAAGTGAAGTTCGTAGATCTCAAAGAGACCCCTGAAATCCTGAGTCACCGAGCTGAGATCGGACCGAAGCAGCTCAAACGCCCATTTGCACATATATCTCGGTCTCGAACGCGCAACAATCTCTCGCCCCGGCATCACCGCAGGAATCTCTCTGGATATGAGATGATTGTGCTTTTCAAACGAGTAGCCCACGTTCTGCCGGTTTGTGGCGTCGTACCAAAGTTGTAACATCACGGTCTGCTGCCACGCTGCCCACAGAAAACCCTGCAGGATGAACCAAGCTTGTGCATCAGCCTTAGTTTTTGAACGACGGCAAAAGTCTGTTACGGTGTCGAGAAGGCTGACTATGGTATCTGAATAGGCGCTGGTAAGTGTGAAGGCCGCGCTCGGTTCCATCACTAAAAACAAAGCAATGCGGACCACGTTCGTCGTGGGTCTGGAAAGAACCCGAAGATTTGTCCACGTATATCTACTCCGAGGCTCCTCAGGCTGATCCGTAACGGTAGGGTAGGCGCGAAAGTACTCGACTGGCCATGGACTGTCCAGGTCTGACTGAGCGTCCTTGCTTTCATACTGAAACTGCAGTTCTGGGGGCTGTGGGGGCAGACGGGCCAGCAAGGCACACGTCTTGCCTACAATGTCATCCTTCGTGAGATTTCTTCTGTAGACCTGGAAGCTGCAGGTAACTAGTGTTGAAAACATGGCATCGAGCCGCTCAAGATGTGACCCTAGGTCCCCATTTTTGGGCTCCAGGAAAGCAAATGCATCCCGGCACCACTGCTCAATCCGTGCCTTCTTTTTTTCCATGCTAAGCAACTCATAGTTTCCAGCCTCGCCTAACTCGCCAAATTGCATGAACCTGAGCTCGATGGGAAGTCCAGACCCCGTTTCAGCTGGATGGTAGGTATTCTGATCGAGGATAGCAGAGACCTGGGTCTTGCTCAGAGTCCAGTCGGGCTGGACAGCTAGCTCTGCCATGTATATTTTAGAGGCTTTCTCTTTTTCTTTTCTCTCCGCGTTCCACACAAGCTAAACTGACAGAATGAGAAGCAGCGCGTAGATTTCGTAGTGGTGAGCACGAGTAACAAACCTCGTGTATGTTTACGAGTCGACGTTGGTAGGTAAGCAGAGGGGCCGTGTAGCTGCTTTAAGTCACAGACTTAAGGGTTAGTAAAAATTTAGAGCTAGCACCTTAAGTCCGTCAATAACCCAAGGTAAGCAGCTACTACTCCATACTCTCTGCCGAAATTTTCTTGGTGTCCAGTAGTGGCCTATTATTTTCTTAGAGAACTCAGCTGACGGCGGTCCAGCTGTACAACCACCATCCGCAGCCAATGAACATTGTTCACTGAGGGGCATAGGTATTAAATGTAGTCACTCTTACAACAAAATTAAATCTTTATTATTCCGGAAAAGATCTAAGAAAGCATAGAGTCTTTTATCCTTGTCTACGTATTAGAGCGGTTAGCTGGCTAGCTATAACATTCTAGGTTCTCGTTGCTGTTCCAGTAAGCGGGCCATAACTAGGCAGATAGCAACATCTAGAGACTTCATCACTTCTGTAGGAGATTCAAAGAGCGCTTGGAGATCAATAACTCTATTTCAATATTAGGTAGCTTAGTTCTTGGTACTCCTAGAGTATTCTCTGAATGTGTCACTACTCGGCCTCTTAGGTTCAGTGGTCGAGTGAATATCGCTATGTTGGAATGTATATTACAAATATGATCTGAGTTCCTTATTCTGCAGGGATGGTATTTGGATGATAAATTGTTCAATGCTCAATGCTCAATGGGACAAAAGCCAGAATATTATGATTCTGGTGGAAACCTGTGTCAGGCTGCTAAGCGCTTGTACAATCGTTTCTGTGGGAACGGAGCTTACTGGTCTGAGCGTGAGAGCGTAACAGTCTAAGTCCACAGCAGAACTCTGCACTACAGGCGACTAGAGTTTATTAAGGCTTAGTACGCTATAATGATGGAAGTTCTGTGTTTTCTCATTGGTACTGCGTTAATGAGGATGGGGGCCGAAACTGAACTAGTAGGGATCAAAATGCAAGAAGTATTTCCTGGTCTTGTAAGATTGCAGTGTGACGAACAAACGGTGACACCATTGGCCTGTGTTGTCAAGTGAGGCTGATCGATTTTCAGCTTTGAGATATACTAATATACCCAACGCACCCCGCACTGCCAGCTAGCGGATAGTTTGCTGCGCAATTTGATTGTTGAGCTTTTTTGATGTGTATAGGCTACTTAAATGCTTCAACAAAATCTACTGATTATCTGCACGGCACTGCATCATTGTACACCTTTCTAGGCCTGTACTCCACTCTCTTCTTCCTCTGCCTTCCATGGCCCCAACTCTCCAACACCTCTTCACCCGCCGAGACTTCGACCCAGGGGCTACATCTGCTGCATTTGCCGATGAATGGTCCAATCCATCCAATTACGCCTTTACTATCCTTCTCTTGGTCGGAGGTGACTTGATCCATCGCGCTCTCGCTCAGCTGGCGGGGGGTTGGACTACTCCAGTCGCCTTTTCATTTGGTGTGTACGACCTGAAACAAGACAAATCTTCTACTTCATTTGCTTATCTGCTTCTGAGGTTGGGTCTCCTACGCGGCGTCCTCCGTATGTTCCGCGCTCGGTGAATACAGGCTTATGCCAGATGCGGACACTCCCTGCTCTCTTATCAATGGCAAGAACGGTTATGTCCGTGGGAATAACTCCTGGGTTCTCGGACGGATAATGCGAGATTATGAGTACTGGATGGGGGAGCCGGTCCGGGAAAAAACAGAGTCTCTTATCAAGGCTCGTTGGGAATTTGACCAGCAGCATGAGGAGAGAACATCCCCCGGATCGGGGCGCCGAGTGCCTCGTCCTTCGCAAGCCGGATTAGTTGTCAGTCTTTGGCAGCCAAGCACCAAGCAGCCGCATGGGGAGCCCGGCCACGATCTGCTTCATTGGTCAGGTGTTATTGCCACGGTGGTCCAACTGGGAATAGCTGCGGTCCCGGTGGGCCTTCGTGGAGATTGGGGGGTCATGCTGGTCACCGCCGCGGCCATCATTCTCTGCTACAGCACCGGGGCGCTGCCGCATTGGAAGGTCGAGAAGTGGGCTTGTCGGCGCTTGGCTGCTCGGGACAAGAAGAATTTTATTTTGACGCGTGGAAACGGGTCCCAGCATGCAATCGCCATCATCAGCAACGGTCATGGCTTGGACCTGGAGGACCTTGCTACGGGGTTTGCCAAAATTAACTCCCCACCGATCACTCTCTTTTCACAACTGGCCATTATCAGTCTAGGGTTGTTGTGGGTTGCACTCCTGATCACAGCATCCGCTCTGCAGAAGGACTCCTGGTACTTGATTGCGGTTGGGGGTATAGGAATGCTGCAAAATATCTTCGTTGCTGGCTGGAAGCGGACACCAGCTGCCTATGGCGTTCCGCTTGAATTCATCGGGGTCGTTGGCGAAGTCAAAGTCATGCAAACTTTGATGGAGGTCGAGAGAAGATATGAGAAGCTGGGGAAGAGCATGCTAGGAACCTTCTTCCCAGGCGACTTACGAGACAGTGAAGTGAAGGAGTGGGAGGCCATTTCGCAGGAATGGAAGGAGAAAAAGGCCGTCGTTGTCAAGTCTGATAGCTAACAACGGTAGTGTTTGCTAATTTTTTTGAATTATTTTACCCTACACAGCAGACGGAGCAGCTGCCGCGAGTTGTACAAAATCTGATTACAGTCAATGAGGAGGGCCGGCGATGGAAGGACGTAGTACACTAGTACTCGCTCAAAGCATGGCTGAACAAGCCAGGAGAGCATTTCTATATTAGACTACCAGTGGTACTCGCTAAGAGATCATTTTATTGAAACAAACGGTCCACTTGCGAGTACGAGGGTATCTCACGATGGGTAACATGACTTTTCTCAATAGGCGTATTCGCCAGATACTCCCATAACAATTGTCACATAACATTATACACCAACCTTGAATGGAAACAATAATAAGCATTTAATCTGTTATCTACGCTATAAATATGTGCATTGCACATTTCTATTATGTTTAACTATAGTTCAAGGAACAGATCTCATTACATAAATAACTAGAAAACCATCATGCCCTCTGAACTACCAGCAACGGCCATTATTGGCAGATAGACGCACCCCTGCAAAATGGTAATCCTATAATTCTTTTCATACATGCTCCCTAGATATCATTAACCATATAGGAAGAAACCTTTTAGCTTCTCACACCATAGTTAACTAATGTTAACCTCCTCCGGATCAACTTAAACAGCTATGGAAAGACCACTGCTAGCCACAAGGAGTATACTCTCTAAAATCAAGCTAAGGATGTTTTTGCTATCTTATTATAAACAGATCCCAAAGCTAATCTCTAACAGAAATAGTTCTGAGCTCTCCAAAGGATAATCTCTGCTATCTCTATAAGCCCTATAATCACCCTCTACCTAGCTCTGCTTGATCAGGCTAGATTCCTGGGCCTTATTCTACTCTCCTCCAACACATCAGCTGTAACCAACGCTTAATGTAGCTTGCTCTACCAGCTCAGCAATATCTGGGTTGTGGCACCTGCTCCTAGTGATCATGAACGCCGCCATCCATAGCTGGGGTGGGAATCCTGATCTTAATGGCCTGCGTGTGAATTAGATTAAGTAGGACTGGGTGCAATGCCACTGGGGCGCTGAGAATGTGGAGCCTATGCGGAATTTGATGATGGAAAGGGATGCGGTGCTTGATCGGCTGGGGGAGTTCATGTTCCAGTTCTCCTGATCCATGTTTCTACATACGACGACCAATTCAGTGTCAACTTTTGATCAGGAGAGTCAAGACCAAAGGCCAGCCCTGCCATGATTATCAAAGGCTTCATGTCTCAAATCTTTTCAGGACGAAGTGAGCTATGGGTATAAAATCTTCTTCACCACGAGGCGTATCAAAGTGGCTGCTACTTGGAATCCCTCCGTCTACCAGAGAACGTGCTGGCGGAAGATTCACTGATTTACGCCATATTTCATGTTAATATCGTACTTTATCGTCTCTTTAAATCTCTTCCTCCTTATACCTGCTACGGTGAACCCAATGCCTGCTACCTCGAGTACCTGGATTGCGTCCTATCAACTTTATGCAACGAATCCCTGCGACTTCCTTTGCAAGCTGTATTCCAAAAAGACAGAATGACTTCCAAGGTGAACATGACTCGCTTGTCAGACGATGCGCTCGATTACTAACGAGTACCACTGAATAGGATAATCCTCGTCGCTATATCCCTTTCCTCTTACCTTTGGTTGCTGAGGGGCTCAGTATCGCCTGTAATGCTCCCTGATGCGGAAGACGAAGCCACCCCAAACGCCGCGCTTATCGTCTTCCTGCAATGTCTGACAGGGCTAATAACCGGTATGCCTGATTGAGTAGGTCGTCAATGGGCCTATTTCACCCCGGTACTCGACAAATGGGTGTTATGATTCAAGTCAACACTCGTCCCTGGAAACACTAGGCCTTTTGCGGATAATGACGACCTCATCGACCGCTCACCAAAATCTTATTCGTAGGATCTTTAATCTATGAGACCTTCTCAAATGGGATCTTGTGCTCCACTGAGACACTGGCCACGCTTCAATTGTGGAGTTTAAAAGAAGGATGCGTGCCAAAGGACAGTCAACCAACTTTGTGATATGGTCTGCGGAGTGTTCTATACCTCCCAGCTTTCCACCGCCCAATGCGTAAACGCCAGTGTTGGCCAGGCCTCGACCATGGTTTCCAACTATAACGGTTGATTTCTCCGCAAGGCCGGCTCTCTAATCTTTCCTCGACGTGCCTGGGGCCAAAGATCATCGCCATTTTTGACATCCCTCCCGGATCAACCCCGACCTTGCTGATGTGTTGTATGCTCTCATCTTGGACCTGCTTGACAAGACACCTGTCATTGTCATCCGATTACGCAGCCCATCATAATACAGGACGCCTGCGAGCTAGTGGGATGGTTAAAAAAGGAAGCATCACATCGACTCCCCGCATTTAACAACCAGTAAGTTATGGACAGACAGTCATGCCAGATCTATGAATCTATATTGATACGCTCTTGCCGTCCATAGCCTTATCCTGGTCTTCCATGACGATGACCATGGGTTGGCTGCGTGGTCTGTGACGAAGGACACGCAACCAAGACCACCCAGACAAAAAAAGCACCAGACCGTGGCTAGGTTGGAGGCGAGACACGGTGGACATGCGGACAAACATCGTGCCCTCATCGGAGCTGTGAACCCCCTGATGAGGATTTAAGAAGCTCCCGGCTGAGATACAAAAATTCTACCACCCTGTGAAATGTCTCGACATTACTTTCCACATTCCGCAGATCCGTGATTGCGAAGATCTCAAAGTGTCATTGATTGGGTCATCCTATCAAGGTTGGCCTACCATAGTAGCTGAACCTCGGTGCTACTGGCCTAATCAAAGTAATCCCATCGGCTGCCCACGAATCCCTGATCAATGATTTCACCTTGACGGTTGGCTCTGACCAGAAGGTCCCAATGTTACAACGGATTGCAGCGGGTGAGCTTTCAGAACGGGACAAGCGTTTGTACCGTCGAGAATTCATCAACTTGGCTAAAGCTTCAGATGAGGCAATGGCGCGTAATGACTATGCGATCTTCAAATCTCTTTTCAAGGACTTCAATGACCTCCATGACCTCCATGACAAGTAGGGATTCAGTGTCATTGAGGCCAATGCCAATGAAGGCAATGCTAAAGAGTCAGATCCATTTATTAGGCCAATTGAGAAGGAGCCTGAAGAGTCTGAATCTGAGAAGTCTGGGTGGTCCAGCGATGAAGTTGGCAATGATGGAGGTGGGGATGGTGGTAATTGATTTGGACTCCAAAATATGGGCATCCACTGGACGGACCGACAATGGATTGGGACCACTACATACAAGCCAGCTAACAAGGGAAAGCAAGGCGAGCAGGCATTCACTTGCATTATAACACAGTCCTGAAGAAGTCAGGCAGGCCTGTTGGCCCTTTTTTCCGCGACTAACCAGCCGCCAAATATCGAATCTGGCGGGAAATACTATGAGTACATGTACATACGGAGTATACACAGTGTTGGACCCCAGCTGGGAGGCTCAGCACAAGAGGACAATGTCGAATGCACTCTAACCATCAAGCTTGAAAAGGGGTCAAACAAGCCTTAGAGAACTTCCGTTGGATGCAGAATATAGACTAGAACATTCTGGCGTGCTACAATTCCTGCACAACCCAAAAGGGAAAGCACCCCGTGCATAGGAATGATAGCGCGGGCGATTAGGCGGGGCCTATGCTGTTCCTGGTTAGAGCGTAAGCTTGTCCACCCCTGCTGGTAATCCCGCTGCTTAAATCCGGCGATCCGGAGGTGCCGAGGTATATTCCACCCTATTGTCCATCCTGAAGTTGATTAGAAATCACTCGGTGGAAAAGCTGTGTTTCAATCGGCATTGCAGTTACACTACGAGGCACAGAGGTTTCACCCCTTTGAAAGCTTTGGACACTGTGTAACGCGGTAGTGGTTCCGTGATTGATCGTCATGATGTAATACGTAATAGGGCCCACCCGCCTCTACCGTCAACTCTTTTAAGTATTGGTAAGCATCACCTCGCTGCATATCCGTATAAATTCTTCCATTCTCGACGACTTTCCCAAGAAGTAGTACACCAGAATCTATAGCAGAATCAAAATGTCTACCCAGAAAGCAGTCGTCATCACCGCCCCCAAGCAGGCGAGCTTGGTCACCGACCACCCCATCCCCAAGCTGCGCGATGACTACATCCTCGTCAAGACCGTCAGCGTGGCCCTGAACCCCACAGACTGGAAGCACATTGACTTCCTGGCTCCTCCCGGCGTGCTTGTCGGCTGCGACTACGCCGGTATCGTTGAGGAAGTGGGCAAGGCCGTCAAGAAGCCCTTCAAGAAGGGCGACAGAGTCTGTGGGTTCGCTCACGGCTCCAACGCCGTGCAGCCCGAGGATGGCACGTTTGCCGAGTACATTGTCGCCAAGGGCGACTTGCAAATCCACATCCCGGATAACCTGAGCTTCCAGGAAGCCGCCACGCTGGGCGTCGGGATCACCACTGTCGGCCAATCGCTCTATCAGAGCTTGCAGTTGAATTGGCCAACAGATCCGATCAAGGATGCCCAGCCTCTCCTGATCTATGGCGGTTCCAGTGCCACGGGTACCCTGGCTATCCAGTTCGCCAAGCTGTCCGGCTACCGGGTGCTGACGACGTGCTCGCCGCGCAACTTTGACCTTGTCAAGAGCCTTGGAGCCGATGCGGTGTATGACTACAACGATCCCAACGCCGCGGCGGAGATCCGCAAGGCCACCGATAACAAGCTTAAGTATGTGCTGGACACGATCTCGCTGGAGTCAAGCGCCAAGTTCTGCGACGAGGCACTGAGCACCGAGGGGGGAGAATACACTGCTCTTCTTGTTGTTCCCATTAAGCGCGAGAACGTCAACGATCGCTGGACCCTGGGATACACTGTCGTCGGTGAGAAGTTCAAGTTTGGCGACATGGAAGTTCCTGCGAAGCCGGAAGATTTTGAGTTTGGGCGCAAGTTTTGGTCTGTCGCGGAGAAACTGTTGGCAGAGGGCAAGGTCAAGCCGCACCGTCCCAAGGTTTGTCCGGATGGATTGAAGGGTGTTCTGAATGGCCTGCAGCTCATGAGAGAGGGCAAGGTCAGCGGAGAAAAGTTGGTGTACAATGTTGCTGAGACCCCTTGAATCACACCTAGTGTATTAATATAATTAAGCACCACAATAATTCACATATTCTCTGCTGCTGGTACTGAGAACATCCTCTATCAGTTTCACGTCCTTTTACTTCTCCTTTCCCATCTCCAAGCACCGAAATCCACAATATGGATCACGATATGGCAATAGTCAGCACATATGGGCATATCGATCTCTTCTTTGTGACCCTTAGGGTGGCAGGACTGAAGAAGAACAAGATTCTCCCGATTAGCAAGGCGCATCGTTTGGCCTGGTGTTGATCTTGGACCTCTGGAGAGACGTGGCCAAGAATATATGTCGCTGCCATCGAGTCTAAAGATAACTTGACGATATGTCTATTGTGATGCCGAAACCATCAAACTATCAGATCCATCTGCCGTCCGGCAATAGGAAGTGAGGAAAAGTCCTCTTTATCGGAATCAGTTACCGAAGTGGGAAGTCAGAAGTGACGTGGTGATTGACCCACCCACGCCCTTCGGTTTAACAAGCCGAACATTTATCTGACCCAACAGAGTCAACTTGGACCTTTATTCTTTCAACATATCGACAAACAGAGGGAACAGGATGGAATCGGATATTCAACTGCGTCTCCGCTCAGAAGAACAATCCCTAAACTCTATTCAGGATCATGACCACGAACAAAACCAACAGCTCCCTCCGATGGACGGCGGGAAAGACGCCTGGCTTTTCCTAGCGGCATGTTTCATGATAGAGGCCCTTATATGGGGTAGGCTCCTACACCTACATAATCGATCACTCCTAGCAGAGCTAATTCAGGTTCAGGCTTCTCCTTCGCCTTTGGTATCTTCCAGGACTACTATAACACCCATGAACCCTTTCAAGGGTCCAGCAATATCGCCATCATCGGAACATGCTCAATGGTAATTCCACCACACGTACAGCGAGAGACCAGCTACTGATCACCGCTCCAGGGCGTCAACTACCTCCTTGCCCCCGTTAACTTTGGCATCCTCCTTTCTTTCCCGCGGCTACGCATCTGGGCCGCGCCCGCGGGTTTTGTGACCATGTCACTGGCCCTGGCGCTCAGCTCGTTCTCCAAGACCACAACGGAGTTGATCATCTCCCAGGGTGTGTTCTACGGACTCGGCGCGAGTGTCGCGTACGCGCCAACCATCGTCTTCATGGATGAGTGGTTTGCGAGACGGAAGGGGCTGGCGTTTGGGATTATGTGGGTGAGTTTCCTCTCCTGTAGCTTACACTCTGGTACGTTTTTGCTGAAAATGGACAGGCAGGAACAGGTCTCGCGGGTGTCGTGCTTCCAGTTTTACTACAATGGCTCCTGAATACGTACGGACACCGCGTCACTCTGCGCGCCTGGGCCGTGATCCTCTTCGTGCTTGCAGCACCGCTTCTCTACTTTGTGAAACCGCGCGTGCCTATCTCGGCGTCGTCCAGCATGCGCACGTTCAACCTCTCTTTCGTTCTTGATCGGACGTTTTTGATCTACCAAGCTGGGAATATTATCGAGGCACTGGGCTATTTCCTTCCCACGATCTATCTCCCGACATATGCGCGTTCACTGGGCGCGAACAACCTCACCGCATCGCTGACGGTCATTCTGCTGAATCTTGCTTCGGTCTTTGGGTGTATCACCATGGGCTCGCTGGTTGACCGTTGTCATGCGACGACGTGTATACTCATCTCGACTGTCGGGACAGTGTTGGCGACGTTCCTGCTGTGGGGCTTCGCGGTTAGTTTGGCGCCATTGTTCGTTTTCTGTGTGGCCTATGGAGTTTTTGCGGGCTCATTCTCGTCGACTTGGCCTGCTATTCAGGGAGAAGTGCGGAGGAAAAATGCCTATGCCGATCCGGGCATTGTGTTTGGATTCTTGTGTTCTGGACGGGGGATCGGGAATGTGGTTAGTGGGCCGTTAAGTGAGGCATTGATGGCGGGGGAGAAGTGGACGGCGGGGTATGGGTACGGCAGTGGGTATGGAGGACTGATTGTGTTTACGGGAGTGACAGCTCTCTTGGGGGGGTTGAGCGTGCTGGCCAGGCCGTTGAAGTTGTTGTAGACTTGTGACTATCACACAGTCAACATCCAATGTCCCGAGGTCGGAAGAGTTGCGGGGCAGCATGACTCACGGCTATACTCTTAGCCATGACGACCACAAAAATATCTCAACACCTCAATCAGCTTCGTCAAGCAAAAATTAACCAAGAAATCGATCAACTCACCTGCAAAATGTCCAGAATCAAATTCGCCATCCTCGATGACTACCAAAACCTCTCCGCCAAGCACTTTGCCCACCTCACCTCCCGCGTGGACATCTCCTACTTCCCCGACACCCTCGACCCGCGCGACCGCGTACAACAGCAGCAGCTGATCGCCCGCCTACGCCCCTTCGACGCCATCCTCGCCATGAGAGAGCGCACTCCCATGGCCGCGGAAACAATCGCCGCCCTCCCCAACCTCAAACTCCTCCTAACAACAGGGAACCGCAACCTATCGCTCGATCTCCCCGCGCTCACCGCGCGCGGGATCCCCGTCGCCGGGACCGTCGGCCGACCCCCAGGCGTCAACTCCACTGTCCAACACACCTGGGCGCTGATCCTCGCTCTGGCGCGGCACGTCGCGCGCGACGATGCAGCCGTCAAAGCGGGGAAATGGCAGGGTTCGCTGGGGGTCAATCTGTCCGGCAAGACGCTGGCGCTGCTGGGACTTGGCAAGCTGGGCGCGCAGGTCGGGCGGATTGCGGTCCTCGCGTTTGGGATGAAGGCCATCGCGTGGTCGGCGAACCTGACGCAGGACAAGGCCGACGAGCAGGCGACCGCGCAGGGGTTACCGGCGGGGAGCTTCGAGGTGGTGCCGGAGAAGCTGGAGTTCCTGCGGCGGGCGGATGTGCTCAGCGTGCATTATGTGTTGTCTGAGCGGAGTCGGGGGATCATCGGGGCGGAGGAGCTGGCTGCGCTGCGTCCGGAGGCCATGATTGTGAATACGTCGCGGGGTCCGCTGATTGATGAGCGGGCACTGCTGGAGACGCTGAACGCTGGTCGGATCCGGGGTGCGGCGCTCGACGTGTTTGATCCGGAGCCGCTACCTGTTGATAGTCCGTGGCGGACGACGGCTTGGGGTGTTGAGGGGCGCAGCGAGGTGCTGTTGACGCCGCATATGGGATATGGGGAAGAGGAGCTGATCAATGGGTGGTATAAGGAGGCGGCTGCGAATTTGGAGCGGTGGTTGGATGGTAAGGAGCTGCAGGTGAGATTGAATTGATCATATGAAATAATGCACATAATTGACACGATGCATCAATGGCCTGCATGACATGTGGGATATCCATACTCCGTAGATTGCCAACTGCCTATCCTGATGGAGTAAATCGCCCGGTATGAAAGTCAAAATTGAAACCTGCTAGATTTGACTTACATGTGGATGCTCACCGGATGGACCAATTCGTCCTTTCAGATGCCAACTAGACTGTCAGTGCAGAACCTTAATGGAGCCTAATATAGCTAGTGGACCAAGGGGACGATGCCATTCCTAAGACAGGTGGCAATTGTGTTTCGTAGATGTAAACAATTGTACCTCGGCATAGATACTGGCCACCGCAAACGGCTCAGTTGGACCCACAGAACCAAGTTCCATCTTTCCGCTACACAGCATTCCTCGGTAGAAGGGAGACATAGACTTATTTGAGTTGGCTAGTGCTTGTATTAACGAAGCTAGTAAACAAATGATGCAAAGTACGCCATCATCGACAGGAACAGCGGCAGGAATCGGATCACCCCACATTCACATTCATCTCGTATAAGTAGGCGGGGTACCTCACTCCCCGGCTCAGCATTTATTTCCGTATGCTACTGGACTCTCTTTAACAAATTGACTTTCTTTCTATCACATCAATTGACGTCCTCCGGGGTTTTTCTTACAATTTCTCAAATAATTGACCCAATTGAACAACGTTATCAACCACAATGGCCCCCATCGCCGTCCAAGAACCCACAACCTGTACAACAACAGCAACCCCCCCTGCAACTCATCCTGGCTTGATTCAAGTCAACCGCTCCCCAAAAGCCTTCGGCAGCAGCGCCTCCTCCCTCGTCTCGCTCCCGGCAGGCGCCGTGTTTGCCAAGATCACCACCGCCACACCCTCCAAGAAGGCCTACACATCCGTCCAGACCGGCCGGGACAGCCACATCGAGCTGAACTCGGACCTGGTGTTTTGCAACCACTCATGCGACCCGAGTTTGAACTTCGATATGCATAAGATGGAGGTGCGGGTTGTGGACGAACGGCCGTTGAAGGTCGGGGATGCGTTGACGTTCTTCTATCCCAGTTCGGAGTGGGAGATGGATCAGGCGTTCAACTGTAACTGCGGGAGTGAGAAGTGTAAGGGGTGGATTTCCGGGGCGAAGACGATGGGCAGAGAGGAGCTGGGGGGGTACTGGTTGAATCCGCATATCGAGGAGATGTTGAGGGAGAGGGACGGTCAGCTGTGATGATGTGTTTGTAGAATAGAGTAGACTTGATAGACCTTCGGGGTATATATACATTGGGATAATGGTATACAAAACATTGCGCATATCTATGATACGGCTTTGCTCTTGATAGCGCTCATTTTCTCATGCAACTCATCGATATGATCCTTCAGTGATCGAATATCTTCTTCGACAAACGCCTCGGACTGATTCAGCTCCTCGACTCTTCTCTCCGACTCCCTCGATTCATCCCTCAATCTGAAGTACTCCTCATACTCGCCCTCCCCAAAACACACCCCGTACCCCTCACAATAACACACCTGCTCATCAGGACAATACTCCTCCCGCCCCGTAAACAACCACTGCCACAAGTACTCCCACACCCGCCCAGACAGCTTATCCTCCAACGGCGTCGCGAGTAACCACTCCCGATACCGCACATACCTCTCCAGTGCCACCGTCCGAATGCGCTCCGCACTCACCGCAAACTGCCCACAGCACGGCTGCGACAGAACGCTCGGCACCGGGACCCCGGGAAACAGCTCCTGCCACGAATTCCCAAAAACCGCTGCCTCGGGGATATTCAGAAGATCATCCCCGGCCACCGTCGGATGGATGTGATCCGGGCACCCCGGGCCAAGGTGGCAGCGGAGATTGACGTACCCGTTTCGGAGCACGTACTCGCTCCGCAGACGCCGGACCTGCAGCGCCGAGTCGGAGTTGAGGAAGTCATTGTTGTGCCAGGTGAACTGGTGCGCGTGCATGAAGAGCGTCACGTCGCTGAGCGAGGCGTAGTGGTCGATTATGTAGGTGAGGTATACCATGACCTCGTGGCCTTTGTTTTGGGGGACGGTGAGGGTGGCGTTCGGGTTGTCAACGGTGTAGACGGCGCTGCTGAGGCAGGGGTCGGTTTGGACGAGGGTGTCGATCCATGAGGCGTCTTCTTCTTCGAGTTTCGCGATCACTACCGTTCGAGTGAAGGTTTTGTCAGGTAACTGAAGTGATGGTGTTGGCCAGGGAGAGGCGGATGCCGTTGAAGCGGTGGCGTCTGAGACGATATTGTCTGGATGTCGCTGGATAGGAGTTGTCGCTGACCATCTTTGTGTCGATAGAGAGAACGACATAAGCAGGAAAGCAGTCACTGCTGCTGTAATGATGCATATCCGGAAGTATCGAGTCTGCGCAAGTACCGACATGATGGTTCCATACTCTGGTGTCGCGAGGAGACGACCTCATCTCGACATGAGACAAAGCATTTATCTCATCATCGCCCATCTCAATGATAGACGCAATCATCTCATGGTTATCAGCGCTAACCGGGGTCAGCGGCTAGAGGCGCGTGGGTATCTCCTGGACCGCCAATTTCAGTCGGACGAGGCCCTGGGCGAGCCCACTTGGACTCTTGGAGCCCCTGCCAAGTATGACCATATTTATCACGCTCGTGGAGACCCTGGGGACCAAGCCTGGGTACGGAATCGCTGGCTTTCGACGCAAGAAATCCCTATATAATTGGCGCCGGTGTTGGAGATTTTTATGTACTAAGACAATATCCAAATATACATATCCCACCCACACTCCATTATGCCTGCTGAGCCTTGATCCAGATATCTCTCCCCGCAACCAGTGTACTCACCACCATCGCCATGCCCACCACCAACTCACTCACCGGGATCCATCCCAAGAATACCCCGGGAATCAACAAGTCACAGCCATCAACCACAATCCGCTTCATTAGGGGTCCCGAGCCCCCATCCTTCCTCTCCTTGCTACTCCCACCCTTCTTCTCATCCTGCTGCGCCTTACCCACAGAAGCAGAACCAGGAGCAAACAGTAACCCCCACAAGGCCCCAACAATTGATAACGCCAATGCGTAGAACCAGAATTTGTAGGCCTCAACGAGGACGGGCTTATTCCAGTACACGGGGTAGACGTCCATTGCATGTAGCTGCCAACCCATTAGCCCAGTTCACAAAAAAAGAGTACAAGACGGAGAAATCTTACGATAGTACAATCCTCCAACATGAAGTACAGCCCTAGACACGTCCACCGGCCGAGCTCGATCAGCGTTGTCGGAAAGCCGTCAGCGCCCGTCCTGCTACCAGTTGCAGAACTGCTACCGAGGAGGTCATACACCCGCTCGAAACAATCGAGAAAGTTAAAGAAGCGGAAGAAGCGGCGGGCTGGAGTTAGAGGGAGAGCAAACGCATAAGTACAGATTGGTACATTGGCTGTGATGGAGATACAGGGACTAACTCAGCGCTAATTGCGACTTGGCGGTTGACCAGGTCGTGACTGTTCCATTGTCGATGCTGGTTTCGATGACGATTGTTGCGAGGGCCTGGATAAGTCGGAGGGTTTTCTCGAGGCCTGCTCCCGTGCGGGTGAAGTTGGAGAATTGTTTGATTGCGGAGGGGGTTGAACGGGTAGGAGGATGAGGGGCTTTCACTGCCATTGTGGTGTTGTTCGCCAGTGTGATGGGATTCAACTGATCAAGATTGAGGGGGAATGTTAAGAACTTTATGTTGAAGTGTAAGATTTGGTTCTATGAGCTTATCGGTCCATCTCAGACCGACAATTGTCTTCATGGCGCATCGGCATCCATCTCCTCCCCTGAATGCCGACTTGGCGCTCAGTCCACAATCTCAACTAGATAACTACGCCCAATATGAAAATAGTAGAAGAACATAAGCACGCGTTTTAGCAAAGTTGGATTCGCGCTTCAGAATAACTATGTCAAATGATCATCTACACATTGTTGGCCAGACAATCCGCATGTCCTCAAACATCTGTACATCCCATGAGCAATCTACCGCCCCTTTCCACCAGAAATATCCTGTCCCAGCCGATACCCTCCAACCTTCTCCCACTCCACTTTCTGCCGGGTAATGGGCAATTGTCTCCGCAGGTTCTTGAACGCGCCCTCCGCCATCTGCACGAACGCACGGTTGAGCTCCTCCTGGTAGTCTCGCTCCGCGGCCGCAATACGGGAGATAATGCTCTCAGCAGAGATCGAGGGAATGGAGATATTGATGGGCTTGTTCGTGTTGAGAGCCACATTGCCATCCTCATAGTAATGCACATCCACAAGGATCTTGCCGCTCACGGTGGTCGACTCGGACACGGGGACTTGATAGATGGAGCGGAAGCGACCGTTCCTACAGCGCGTTCCTCATTAGCCCATGCGCTTTTTGTATTGGTTCGAACACTGACCAGAAGTTGTTCGGCGAGTAGCGATTTGCAACAAGTAGAATCGCGACAGCCGTATCGTCCTCAGTAGGGTAGACGCCGTAGGAGCAGTTCGGGTAGTGTTCCGCAGCATGTTTAGCGAGCGATTTGAGGAGAGATTTGCTGCACTGGTCAGACCATAAGGAACTCCACATGAACACGGCAACCTACATCAAATCCGCATTTTGCGATTCCAGCACATAGGATTGCGCACCAGACGCTTGCTTTGATCCAATCAGCCTCCACACGCCCCTCATTCCACCACCAAACCTACCTGTGTTACATGATCCACGTCGAACGATGTCTGAGTCTCAACATCAAAGTATCGGCTTCCTTCTAGCTTGTTGAATTCACTGACGATGACCTGAGACCGATCACTTTGTCAGAACACGGCCACTTGAGGGTTGTACGCAACGTCGACCCACCTCCTGACTAGCTCCGGGCAGCTTCACGGTAGCCAATTGCTTCTCATTGTACCGTTCGAACGCAGGCGCAAGAGAGGGAATAACATCCGATTCGTCCGAGGTAAGTGCCTTGATATCTGTCGTGGACGACGTTATTCAGTAATCAGTAATACGACCTGATCGGGGTTGAATGCAGCTAGCCTAGAGGATTGCGGGGATTTCTGCGGATAGTGGGCTGTGGGAGGTAATACCAGCGACGACATCAGAGAGCTAGAAGTGTCTGATTAGTTTTGCATGCTCGATGAGGGAAACGATCACGTAGGTGTTGTATAGGTGGAATTGGATGCCTACCTCGCCTGGCGGGGCACCCTCGATGAACGAGGATGCGAGCTCAACCGTGGAACCCATCACGGCAATTTCGACTGGAGAGTTAGATGACTCTAATCTGTGTCTAATATATTGATTCAGAACAGGAATGAGAACGAAAAGATCAAAGGGGGACAGCAGCAACAAGATGTAAACAAGGATAGCTCTGACCACAGCTCAATTGCTTGTTAGCGGAGACGGAGCTCTAGCGCGATAAGCGGCTATCTTGCACGTGGCCTGGGAAAGATACCACCGCCATCTTGAACTACAACTGCATCATTGCGAATGCTCTGAGAACCATATCATTTCAATTGATAGGACACTAGGGTAGAATCATATTCAAGCTAAGTACTAGGTTAACGCCAATATTGGTACAAATCCTCTCAACGCCGAGCAAGGAGTGTCTGCACCATTTGAAGTACAAATGCACCACGCTGAAGAGCCAACAAGAAGGTTCAACTAGAGATTATATGGTATATACGAGTCCAGCTCGTGGTTGCAACAGTCGGGAGAATTTAGCAGCCCACATCCAGGCAGAACATTTATTCAATGCTCATATTCATGAAACCATCATTGGCTTCAGTCATACCCTGAAGACCAACGCGCTTTAGAGGCCCAGAGTGCGAGTTATTGGACGTATGTCTGGCAGGATGCTCTCCGTTCGGCCGATCTGGGAATAGCGAGCCTAAATTAGACTTGGGAGGGGGACCCCAGATGTTGTGCCCTGTATCCTTGACCGCGGGCGAATTCGGCATGACAGGACTACTCTGGACACTCATGCTCGGAGACACGGCTCTCCGTTTGAAAAGATTGGGATCAAAGTCATCATCCCGGCGTCGTTTCCGATTGATCTCGCTCATGGCGGGAAAGTTTGCGTGTGGCGTTGAGCTTCTCGATCCCGGTCGATCATACGGTTTGGCGAACTCAGTTGTGCTAGACCCTAGCGTTGTCGACGGCGTGATATCCATGGCAATATCATCCTCAGACATGGCTGACGGTCCCAATGCGCGCATAGAGGGCGGTGGTGTGCGGTAGCGCTCATCAAACGTATTCCAGAACTCTGCCCCCGCAGAGTTACGATGAGCTTCATCGCTGAACTTGGGCTCATCCAGGGTAAATGAACCAGGCTTCGTAGATCCCTCTTCCGCGCTCACCCCTGGCACGGAAGGGGTGAGGGACGACAAGGCGTCCAGGCTTGGGGAGGTATGGGGAGCATCAGGTTCGCTCTCACGGACCTGCCGTATAACCTCCGCTTCACGCTTTGCGTCGCTGTCAATAGGAGCAGACTCCTCCATAAGGGCAGCTCGGATGCGCGCAAATGTCTTTGTTTTGGGCTGGAGACATGGTTAGCTTTGGTCATTGCCTCCAGCACTACACTTACGAGTAAGCTTCCACGTCGAGTCACAGCCCGCCGAATCACACCCAAAGGCCCGCTTTCTGAAGCGGAACCACCAGCCGAGCTGTGTCCGTGGCGACTCTCCCCCTCATCACTCAGATCCGACAAGCGCAAATCGCGAGTCCCAAGGCTGAGACTTTCGCGACGGGGCCCGAGGCTTTGTTTGGATCCGAAATAACCACCGTTAGGATTCTCAATGCTTTTCATCACTGGCGGAGAGAGAGGCCCCGGACTCTGCTTTGAGCTATTTCCACTGGCACTGCTGGAGCTGTGTCTGCTACGTCCTTTGCGAAATCGAGCCCGCTGAAAGCTCAGCAGGCTAGCTGCTGCCTGTGAATACCCACCCATCCAATCATTTCCCGGACTAGGGACGTTTCCCCCAGCAAACGGGCTTGGCCCGCCGACCATCTTGTTCGCGTGGGGGGTGCTGGCTATCATGATATCATCTCGATCGCCTATCATCGGCTCGTCATCCTCCTCGCTACTGCTTGTATCCGATTCCATCATGTTCACGCTAGACACGGAACTCGATATCGCGGTTCGGTCGGCCGGGCCAGATGTCGAGAAAGGACCCATAGAGGTTGACCCCAGCGAGCCACGCCGCTGCGGGATGGTGACACCTCGGCCGCCGACCGTTGGTGACGAATCAGGCGAAGACTCCGCAATAATCGAGTGATGTAGATTCGTGCATGCTCGGGAGAAATCGAGACCTCGTGAGCGTCGAGGGAGTACCGAGCCTGGGGAGCCGTAGATGTGCGATGAGTCGAGCTTGGGTGAAAGCGGGGCGCGATTTGGTACGGATGCGGATCCGGCTAACTTCGAAGGTAGGTTCAAAGAAAGGTTCGAGTAGTGCATGGACGACCTCTGTGGAGTTTCGGGAGTGGAGGTAATGGAGTTGTCATCTTTACTGGAGGGGCGCGTGTCTCCCGAGACAGACGGCGAGGCGGAGACGGGTTTTGGCGCATCGGACAGCGAACGAGACTTATGGGAAGGACGCAGTGGCGTTCCGAGGCGACTCGTCCTATCTCCTGTAGAGTCAGTGTCGGTGCTGGATTCACTCTGCTCCTTGCTCTGGGACAACTGCTCGCTCAGTCTGCTCGCAAATGGCGGGACGGGGAGACTGTGCGACAGAGTCGAAGGAGGGGTGGACGACGTCAAATTAGACATTGAGATAGATTCGAATACGCGGCGAGGTCACGCTCGATGCTCAGATTCGAAAAAACATCATGCTTGAAGCGCTAATAGTAGGTGTCAACGAATCGGTCTTTATGTTTGTTCGCCTGTGTGGTGTCGGTGGTCGACTACTGCGCGGTGAGAGGGAGATAGGTCCTGCTATCTTCAAAATCAGTGTAATATCAAGTGTGAAGGCAGAGAAGAACGCAATTCGAAGTACTCGAAGACAGGAGTTGTTGAGGGTGATTGTCTCTAAGCGCTGCGCCCTCTTGGTCTGGCTGGTCGCGCTGACGTTCCTCGACTGCTCTGGCGAATCACGCGAACTCGTGCCCCGCTTGCGGATCGGCCGCAATTGTTGGCTGCGTCGACACTCTACAGGCACTGGGATACGAATGCAATAAAAAAGCGTTCAGGCAAGGCATTTTCAGCCAATTGACTTGAAGCTCTTATTTCATCGTCTTCATTGCGGGATCGGAATTGATTCGTCTCAGAATATGATTGTAGAGCAATACTACCCAGAAAGCTATTTGTGAATACCCATATGATGAACCTAGATTACAGAGAAGAGGAAAAGCCAAAAGGAAAAGGGGAAAAGAAAAGAACGAACCCAATGGCCGACACGTGTCTCATTGCATCATTTCCAGACATAATTCACGCCAGACTCATGGCTGTACTGACTGGGGCAACATACCACTCCCAGTCATTGCAGCTCGTGTGATCATTTGCTACGTCCACAGGCGAGCCTTTCAGCATGTCACTATCCCGAGCTTGCCAGACCTTGACAATGACAGCCCTTGTGCGAGCGACATTCGAAACGCTCGATTCAGCCATCGCTGCCAGCGCTCGTAGAACTAGCGACCGTCCATATACCACAGTCTTAGTCGTAGGATCAGACCATAGTTCGTCGCGAACTGGGTCCAGTTCCACCGCGGCCACAAAGACAGGCCATGTCATGCTCACCAGGGATCGAGAATCGAGTAATTCCGAGACCAGTCGTAGAATCCGTTTCACGTAACCAATGACCAAAGGGGTGGATGGTGAGGAGCCGTATAATGCACAATGAAGATAGAGCACTGCAGCCAATCGTTTGAGCTCCGCAGCTGACTTGAGCATTTCATCTTCGTCATCATCAATTTCTTGTACGAGAGTCTCCAGTCTACGCCCCAGAGACGCTGCGCGAAGGGCAAACGCAGCCCGAGCGGAATCGGACGTAAGTTGCCGTCTCGTCCGGCTAAGCTCGGTGATGGATGATAAGATTGACACAAGTTCCGGGCTGCATCCCATCCACAAGTCGATTTTCTGCTCGCTCTCTTCCCAGTAATCTGTCCCGAAAAGGACCTCCTCACCACAGGCAGTCCGGCCCATAACATCCTGGAAAGCGAAGAAGAGCTCAGCAAAGGCAGAGACAGGATCTTGGGATTTCCGAGACCTTGCCAGTGCCACCTGTTCTTGTCTCCTGGCGCGAATCAACTCCTTTGCGCCTTTCAAGTGTATCGTCCACCGCTGGTCACAATTGTCCACAATCTCGTATAGACAGAGCATCATCATAATAACCAAGACTTCAGGGTCACCCGAACATGTCAATGACCCCTCGGTAGCGAGTCTGTGGCGGAGACCTCGCAAAGCTTCAGACTTCAAACGGAGGCCGACAACGCTGTATGCCGGATCGAAGCGCGACCAATGGCAAGCTCCCAGCGCTTGAATAGCTTTGAACAGGGTCGGCGACGCAGACAAGCAGAACGGGAGAATGACGGAGGCAAAAGGTGAGGCAAGTTTCGAACTGGCTGTCGTCCGCGGACACACTTGCTGAAGATAGTAATCAAACAAGTGCGTCTGGCTCGACTCTGGAATATTCGGAAACAGCGACAGCGAAGCTGGCGGGCTCAACGCCTCTCGTGCAATCCAGCCGTCGTCAGCAACAACCACCGACGAAGGCGACCCGACACCCCCATACACCAACTCCCTGTCCTTCGCACGAACCAGGATACCATTCAACTCATCACAGGCAACATTCACCTGGCGGGGGTTCTCAAAGGTCGAAACACCACTGTTCACAAACCCCCAGCTTTCAACAGCAGGATACTCGCACCACTCGTTCTCCTCAACCGACAACGACGCCGTCGCCGCCCCTCGAGACTCCGTGCCAGCGGAGCGGGACTTACTCCAAACACCCGCTCGGCCAAACGCCAGGCCCCGGCTCAAAAACTCCGACTCCCATTTAAGCACCAGCTCCGTGGAGCATACGAGACCCTTGTCCCGGCATCGGGTGCAAACCGGTTTCTGAGTGTCGCAGCGGACGCGACTCGCGCGGCACTCCTTGCAACCGCTGCGGGTTCGGGTCTTGACCGGACCCACACGGTCTGCAGCCTTTTTACGTGGCATCCGAATTTCGGCGTGATGGGGACCCTTTACATGGCCAGTTTCATGCTGCAAGGACCATTGGTGCGTTTGAAAGGAGATGAAGAGGAGTTTGCGGACTTTTTCTCGAACAGTGGCAAATTAAACCTCAAGAGTCCTGATCGAATACGAGGTGGTTTGAGCACCGAATAGACTTTGTCAACTTTGTCAAGGCGGTACGAGTATATACAGTCCGGTAATTCCCTCAAAAGTCCAGTTAAAGCCTAGAGTGGATGGATGAAGGATGATGGAGCTTATCGAACATCGCCAACGGAGTCATTATTTCTGGATCGATAAAGGATGGAAGAATCCGCTCCGACAGGGGGATCCGCCAATGAGAGCACGGGATTATCACCCCGCGGGGATTGAGTTGCCTCAGGCAAATCCATATATTTACAGCAATAGCTGATTTCAGCACACATGGCGAACCTCAAGATAGAGTGTAAATTATTGACATGAATCACCATGCTCATGACCAAGTCCTCTCACCAAATGTCTCATTCAGACCCAATTCTTTCCAGGGTGTTCCCTTTGCGTCAACTGTCCCGCTGTTGACGGTATTTCCCCACCAACTCAAGCTGACTCCGGGAAAGATCAGCGCGAAGAATATCAGGATTGCGGCAACAGCGACACCAGAGTCGAGTGCAGCGGACAGCACGTAGTTGTACTTCGCCCACCAGTGCGGCCTGCGGCCTTTGATGACCTGCCGGTCATTAGTACTTCATAATTTGCATCTTGTCCAGAGAGCGGAGGCTCACCTTATTGAAGATGAAACTGACTGCGAAAGCAGTTGTATAGTTGATGCCGGTCTAGTCCATATCAGTCAGCTACAAAGGACCGTATTTAGGAGACAGATCCATACCGCTGGTGGTAGATTTCCAGTGCCTGCAAAGAAAATCGGCCAGTGAATTGCTTCGATGAAGCGTGACTTTGGGAATCTCTTCCGAATAAAGTACGTAATGATAGGGAGCGATGCTCCAATCCAGAACATGTGCAAAAGACCAGAGTACCTCTGGCCGATGTTATACAGTCTCGCTGGCCCAATCGCTGATTAAACCCGTCAGTCGGTCAATGTATAAAAGAGATCGGCAAAAGACATACCACCCCAGAAAATTGCACTGTTGTAATTGACTCGGCCTTGCGGGCAGGTAAAGTTGTCATGCTGATCGCTTGAGCATACGTCTTCCACGTTTCCAAGCATCCATATCAGAACACCATCTGGGAAAGTATGTCGTCAGCAAGCGTAGAGAAACACTCGTGTCCGAAACTCACTCTGGGTTAGAGTTCCGAGTATACAAGCGACAAGCTGGGCAACAAACAACGTCCGACGCGGGATCTTCATGTACAATCCGAGCTGTAGACGATAGATTAACAGAGTATTTCAGACGTGAGCGTCATGGAGACAAACCTTCATGTCTGCACCATAGTACATTGCTTGACTCAATCCGGTGTATGCGTAGAACTGAGGAATCATAAGCGAGTGCTGGCAATGAGGAGTGTTGTATTTTTTTTTTTTTTTACCTTAAAGATAAGAAGCACAAGGGGCTTTCCTTTTAGCGTATAACCCGAGATTATCTCTCCCAGCACGGTCAAAACATTACTGTTCAGATTGGCAACGGCGTACACGGTTCCGACGGGGATCACATAGATTGCCGCAAGGGCAAGGGTAATAAAGAGACCCCAAAATGGAAGCCCTGTATGCCAGACATACTGAGTCATGATTGCTACCGCCACTACGATGACCTGTCGGGTGTCAGCTTCTCCCGGGAAGACCGCTATAACGTTTGAACTTACAGTCAGGATTCCGAACCACCACCAGGGAACATCGGGGTAGCGGGAAAGCAGTCTTGCATGGATATCCTTTTTGTTTTCGCCCTTGAATGTGCTAAAGATATCCTTGCTATGGTACAGCAAGACGTGGGTGATGAGACAGCTGAGGACAGCAAAACCGAGTCCATAGGCCAAGGCAAAGGTCACAGGTAGAAAGATCGGACTGTACTCGCGATACTTGGCCTCGTCAATGGCGCCGCTTGCATCCAGAATTCGGCTCGAATTGTAGACTTTGCCAGTATTGTCGTACGCATCAGATCCGGTCAAAGGGAGGTATGCAGTGAACCATGTGTTGGTGTAGTAGAGAATTGGGGCAATCACTGCATACACACAGAACCAGCCGGCGAACACGTTTGCCTGTGCCCAGAACGGCATGACCAAGGGTGAGGTATTGTAAGCAATTTGACTCCAGTCAAAGGTGGTGGGAAGATATCCCAGTCCGGTCGTCATTCCGAACAGATTGTTAAGTACTTTGTTGTCTGCAAAATGACTTGTTAGAGGATATTGAGCTCTTTGAGAGAAATTGAGGACATACTCGGAGCTGCCCAGCAAATGAAAGCGAATGTGCTCAGCCCGGTAAAAATGTAGCCGGGGAGCCAATACCAGCAGAAGCTCCCAATGAAGACATACAAGAAGAAGCGATAACGAGAGATCCTCCATCCGTCAGCAATCGGGTTCGCGCCGCTATGGAGTGTCTGAAACAGTGCAGCATTGGCTAGCGTGGAAGGCCAGATCTGTAAGTGGTCAGTCTCTTTCTCCTGTTGTGACGAGTTCTCTACATACCATCTGCGGAGGCTCAATAATATATCGATATGATAGTCCAGCCAGGCCAAGGCCAAACAGTTGCATAGACAGCGCGAGCAAGATCTGATAACCAACTGGGGTTGGCATATTGAGAAAGACTTTCTGTGCTTGGATGATGGCACTCGCCTACTCTTTGTCAGAGCCGCTCTCCTTGCGCCAAGCTCGGTTTATCACTCACCCATGACTGGTTGAAACTGAGATTCGACATAATGGTGATCACAGCATGCTCTTTGATGTTGAAATGGTGATCGGGATTGATGACCAGATCCCACCGGTTGAATAGACGGATCTTCATAATCGGCAGTGCCTTTGCGAAAAAGCACCCTACAGGGTAGCTGACCAGCTGCGCCACGAGCGACGTGATGGTCACACTCGGATAACGCATCGAGAAGAATTGGTTGACCCCGGTACCGATCTGCGCAAAGCCGCCTCGGTCAGCAGGGACAGCATAAGTCGATAGCTGATGAAGAACTGCGCTTACCAAGGTGAATACCACGCCCAGGAACCACATTCGGAATGTGTTGATAGGTAGCGTAGGATCATCGGTATTGGGCACATTGGCCCGTACTTCCAAATAGGGCGAGTTATCCGAATCGATTGTATACTCGACTGTACTGCTTTCTCCGATGGCAATTTCCATGGCCTCTTCAGCCGTTATTGGCTTTTTGGAGGTGCCATCATCGCGCAATGATGGGTCCTCAGGGCAAACTTCCACATCGGCACCCTGTGACTGAATTGGAGCCATGGCAGCTGTGTCCAACAGCGGCAAGCTACTGTCCTTTGCGAAAGCACAATGGTGAGGGAGAGAGAAAAGGATGAAATTCCTGGATGAGAATGGTCGGCCTAAATGGTGGCCATTCTGTGCATCTTTATACCACGGCCCGTCTCGTCAAATTTTCCCGATAGTTATCAGTCATGATGCTATTATCGCGGGCGAATTGAGGGGAACCCCAACCTCAATAGAGAAAAGATAGAAAAACTGGTAGACGGAAGGTCCTACCCCAGAACTACTCGAGGCGTTGATCGCGTCGGCATGAACCGTAGTGTGGGGAAAAGAAGCGACAGACGCAAGAAGTTCCGAGATTGTTGGGTGATTGATTAGGAGCAACCAAAACTGGGTTTGACGCCACTGACCATTCACGAGGAATCAGAACTTTAGGTAAGGTCCAAGCGAGAGACCAAGACGCCATTTACCGGGATGTTGGCCAAGGTTATCAGCCGGCGCATCCTAAACACTTGGTAGGCTTGTCTAGGCCCTATCATTATTGGCACATGCTTAAGCTGTCCATTCACAAGGGCGGAGAACCAAAGATAGGGTTTCAATGGACTGATGCGAACAGTCAGGAATGAGAGCCATTGTTATCTCTATTTAGATGTTGTATCAGACAGCCCTATCAATCAATCACCCTTGTCAACTAGCTATCCTCGGCCGTAATCCGAGGCCGAAACAACGGATAAGCGAATAGTAGCGATAACCATGGCCGACTTCGGGTTCGATTGATTCAGGCTAAAGACAGCTGGATCTGTTACTTAAGTGCGCTGGGGAGTTAATCCGACTTATCAAATCAGAGTGGAGTCGTTTTTGAGTCACCTGGACACTGCACGCGGGGAAATCCACGTACTCAGTGTGATTGGGTAAAGCATTATTATGTGGTTCCAGACGGTCAGAGCCAGACAACTTAAGACACGCGATAAAGAGTGATATTATCTATAAGACAGCAGATACTTCGCCTGGACCTTCCTGCGTGTAGTTTGGACACTTGCATCATATCAACAATTCAATGATCATGGCATGATCTTCCTGTTGGACGTATAAAGCTGGCCGTCATGATGTTCTGAGTCCGACACCCTCATTCTGCAACTGGTCTGATGAACAGAACAATTCATTCCTTTGACTTTCATAACGTGACTGATTTCCTCAATAATAATCATTTTCAAACTCATCAGAGCAACGTCATGGCGGTGACGAAGTCATCTTCCCTTTTGATTGTAGGTGCAGGCACCTGGGGCACGTCAACCGCTCTCCATCTGGCACGCAGAGGATACACAAATGTGACGGTTCTAGATCCCTACCCTGTTCCCTCGGCCATCTCGGCTGGGAACGATGTGAACAAAATTATCTCCTCAGGTCAATACACCAACAACAAGGACGAGATTGAGATTAACGAGATTCTGGCTGAAGAGGCGTTCAATGGCTGGAAAAACGACCCCCTGTTTAAACCATACTATCACGATACTGGACTGCTCATGTCCGCCTGCTCTCAGGAAGGCTTGGAACGCCTTGGAGTCCGTGTCAGGCCCGGTGAGGACCCCAACCTTGTGGAACTGACACGACCGGAGCAATTCCGCAAATTGGCACCTGAGGGTGTTCTACAAGGAGATTTCCCCGGCTGGAAGGGCTACTTTGCACGTTCAGGAGCTGGTTGGGCTCATGCTCGCAATGCGCTCGTGGCTGCTGCAAGGGAGGCTCAGAGATTGGGCGTGAAATTCGTGACTGGCACTCCTCAGGGCAGGGTAGTCACTCTAATATTTGAGAATAATGATGTCAAAGGTGCCGTTACCGCAGATGGCAAGATTTGGCGTGCAGAGCGCACGTTTCTCTGCGCCGGTGCCAGCGCCGGTCAGTTCCTTGATTTTAAGAATCAGCTCCGTCCAACAGCATGGACGCTGGTCCATATCGCACTGAAGCCTGAAGAGCGGGCTCTTTACAAGAACATCCCGGTTATTTTCAACATCGAGAGGGGGTTCTTCTTTGAGCCAGACGAGGAGCGTGGCGAGATTAAAATCTGCGACGAACATCCAGGATATACGAATATGGTGCAGTCTGCCGACGGAACGGTGATGAGCATCCCTTTTGAAAAGACTCAGATTCCTAAAGAAGCTGAGGCGAGGGTTAGAGCTCTACTTAAAGAGACAATGCCACAGCTTGCAGACCGTCCATTCAGTTTCGCCAGGATTTGCTGGTGCGCCGATACTGCCAACCGCGAGTTCTTGATCGATCGTCATCCTCAGTACCATTCGCTTGTCCTGGGCTGCGGCGCTTCCGGTAGAGGTAAGACTTTGACCTCACGAGATGTCACCCGTGGCAAGAGCTAACCAATTGATATTTTAAAGGCTTTAAATACCTGCCTTCAATTGGCAATCTTATCGTCGATGCTATGGAAGGCAAGGTTCCTCGAAAGATCCACGACTTGATCAAATGGGACCCAGATATTGCTGCCAATCGCAATTGGAAGGATACTCTAGGGAGATTCGGGGGGCCCAACAGAGTAATGGATTTCCACGACGTCAAGGAGTGGACGAATGTACAATATAGTGATATTTCCAAGTTATAGATGAGGTAGCAAATCTATCCCAAAAATTCATACCGCTTTTCTACATATATGCAAGTAGTCGTTGTACATGTGCGCATACCACCAGGGTACGCACGTGCTTGCGAGCAAACCATTGTCAAGGAAAGGTGTGTGGTGTCAATATTTCATTTTTAAGCAGGGGTATCCGAGGAAGGATGATGCAACCGATCGTGATGAGCAGGCAGATCCTCCAGCTGATATGTTTGGGTTTCCCAGCCGCGTGAGTCTTGCCCTCGCTCCTGGATTTGTTGTTCCTCATCGCCTGGCAATTTAGTGAATCCGTTTGGACCGACGATTTCATAAGCCTCGTGCGGGACGTCACAGGCGACAGACCGCAAGGGTGGATAGTAGCGTCGGTAGGAGAAATGTGCGATAATCAGGCCAAGGATCGACCCGCAGGTCACATCATAGACATCGTGTCGATAGTCCTCAAGGCGCGAGATTGCGATCATCAGCGCGCACAACATCGGTATTAAAGCCAGAATGCAGCGCCAGAGGTCAGCTCTAGGGCGGAATACATGCATTTGTCCTGAGAGGAACCTACATCGAGTACGCGTTAGCATCGGTAGCTTGGTAACAATCTTGCGACCGGAAACTGACATCGACAGGTATCCTAGCCCGCTGAAAGAAAAGCTGCTGTGACCACTGGGGAAACTTCTCCATCCCTCTTGGAGTATGTGGTTGTTCGACTGTGTACAGACCGTCCAGGCCACCAAGGTGTTGGCCGGAGTGCCCTTCTTGGGCATACACCGCGAGATAAGATCGGGTCGAGGTCTTCCAACCGCATTTTTGATGATGTCCGTAATCAGGGATGTCAACATAAGCGCGACAAGCAGCCCGAGAATAGTCACTTGAACCTGGTATGGTTTTGGGCGGAAAATGGCCGCCCAGCAAAGCAGGATCAGGAGTGGGACGACTCCGGCATAGATAATCGACCATACTAGCAATGCATGAGCATGCGACAAACCGATATTAGACTCCGAGCATGCTCACCCACGGGGACTCTTTCCACAATGGCAAAGGGATACTGTAAAGATCTATTATCGAGAGAAAACATGCGATGGAATGGGTCAACGAAGAGTTGGATCTACGGACGATCAAAGCCGTTAGTAAGGCGACCGTATCTCGACCTCAGACGCAGCAAGGTATTACCATAACCCATATCCCTGCTAAGCATGCTAAAGCGATATAGTCCACTACTGGATACGAACGTTGGCAAAAGCGAGCCAGAGCGTCTGGCAATACAGTCGGCTTCGGCCCAGTACCCATGCCATTGCGAGGCATCTCTGCGGTGTTCGGTCGAGTAGATTACTCATAAGAATAAAAACTCGCCGCGCATGTCAAATTGCGCATTGAGGAAGCTCAAATAACGAGGAGGTAGTGATAAGTGATAACTTCAAGAAAGCGCCAGTTGGTTGTTGAAAGCACACGAGCAATCTGGCGGTTCTGTCGTCAGTGCTTGAGCACGGGCCACTGCCACCTTGGTCGAATCTCCGCATCCTCTTCAATGACCACAACCCAGCTGTCTGGCCCCGCAAGTTTCTGAGGTTGATTTCAACACGCATCAGGAATTTCAAGCCTTGCCTTATTTATTTTAAAACGTTCATTTGGCGCCTGGCCGTCCTCATGGCTGAAACTGGGCAACCAAGACCGCTCACAGCCTTCGCTCCGCCGCCTCCTCTCTGGAAACACTTCACGCCGGACAACCTCAAAAGACTAGAGGAGATCAAAAGAGAGGCCTCGAAGGGGGAAGATGGCAAACCGCGAAAGAAGAAGTGGACTCCTGCTGAGTTGCGCGCTCTTCACCTTCCACCAGAGCTCCGTTTCCTTGTGCCCCCGGAGATACCGAAGTCGGGACACTACAGCGTCTTTGGAGAATTACAGAGTGTAGGTCCACACATAGAAAGCACCAAATTAATTCGTTACTTACCATTGGTTTCAGCTTTCTACGACCCTGCCATCTTTGCAGGAGCAGGGTATTGAACAGCTCTATCCCTCAACGCCAACCGAGACGGACCCCGACAAGCCGTCGCAACCATCTCGACCGTTCAACCATGCATACTATCTTTTGAAAATCAGCAAGTCTTTACTACTAAACTTCCTTGAATTTGTCGGTATCCTCTCGATAGCCCCGGAGCAATTCCAATCGAAGGTAGAGGACCTGCGAAACCTCTTTATCAACGCCCACCACCTTCTCAACCTCTATCGACCGCACCAAGCGCGAGAGTCCCTGATTATGATGATGGAGGAGCAGCTCAGTCGGAGCCGAGAAGAAATACAACAAATGGATAAGATGCACGCCGAGATTAACGGCTTCCTGGAGCAGCTGAAAGCTCAGGGAATCGACATAGATTCTACGTCTAAGCCAGTCGAAAATGATAGGGCAAAGCGTATTACTAGCGAACAGGACGCCAACAGCTCTCGACTAGTCTGGGACATTCTGGACGGAACGGATTGAGGCCGACAGTCGCTCCAATATCTTCCTTGTTCGGCATAAAGCACTTGGAATGGCCCAGAGAACGGCTACACGGCCTTCTCCGACTCGCTTTTAAAGTTCAGTTCTCTGGTGTTCTACACGACTGCCCTAGCGAGTGCTTGACGCTCGGGAGAAACCGTCATCTCTCATGAACGCGCGATTGTAGCGCTGCAATTGCCAATTGAGCGCCAATGCAGACATTTTCGGCCAACCCCTGGTGCAACTCGAGACCAGCCTTGGGAAACGCTATCTCAGTGCGAATACCCCCAGAATGTAGGCGGTAATTTATGGATTGGTGCTATCATTCTAAACTACCATCTCCCAGCTGTCTTCGGGAAATCAATTCATCCGGTTATCACGTGACGCACCAATTTCTCGAGCTTTAAAATCATCCCGCGGAATCAGCAGACATTTCCACCTTTTAAACCATTGCATCTTTGGTCAGCATTGGATGGTCGCAGTTTTATTTTATGGAGGTAAAACTGTTGATCGAGTAATCCCAATTGCTCAAGTCGCTTAAGCAACTACTCATCATAAGAATTCGGTAAGTCTCTCTCTTTTCATTTCTTCAAGGTCTCAAATGATGAATATGCCAATCTCTTTGTTTCAACCCCATATGAAAGTACAAAGTACTTCTTGATTCCGTCTGTGCATTATAATCTGAAATGATGCTTGCGAAAGCTCGCTGTCTACCGCTCCATTTCACTGTTCGACATTGTTGATCAGTTGCTAATGTTGGTTGGTTTAGGTTCCCTGGCTTTAGATATATAATTACAATAGAACCAATATCAGCCACGAATATTCCCGATCAAGTCTTGCATTTTGAGAACCGTATCCTGCGGATTGTATCTGACTGCGCTGCATATGTCCAGTCTTATTTATATTCGTTTAAAAACCACGTAGCTTCAACCATGTCCATCATGAGCCGAGTAGAATCATTATAAGCCGTCCGCTCAACCATAATCTATCAAGTCCTTGTGGGCCAGCACAAGTAGGATCTATCACTAGTCTATTTAACCAAGATACGACAGAGTTAAGAGCCCTGTCCAGCACGCTCCTTCCACGCTTTCTCAACAGCGCACGTTGCGAACGTGTAAAGTTCCGTCACAAAATCTGCAACCATCTTCACGTGAACAACCTCGTCTATGGAGATCAATTGGCGCAGGAAGACTCGTTCCATGATGGACGTCGCCGTCCGAAGCAACGCCAGATCCTTTGTGGCTTGGGGGTCCGAGGGATTCTGCAGGATGTTGCAGAATATTGCGATCAGAGCCGACATAGGGTAGAAGATGAGTGTCCTTGGTCGAGTTAGCCCAGATACACATGGATCTATGAAAACACAGACGATGGGGACGACGCACCAGAAAACGCCATCGACGAGAACATGCTCGGCTGACTCCAGGTAGAGCAGTGTGGAGCGGCTCGCTTCGACAGAGAGAGCCAGGCTCGAACTCACTCCTTCAATCATTCCGCCCTGTCCCTGGACCCATGATTTGCACCGACTGCTGGCTTGGTGGATTATTGTCATGCAGAGGTGATAGTTCAGCCTCAGCATGACGGAATGCATGCTGACATTTGGATCCGGGGTCTCATGGGAGAAAGACAGGGTAGGTCTCCATTCCGGCGGGACGGACATCCTCCACCTTTCTAGCTCGTCGTCCAGTTCGCGGATCTCCTTCAGCAGCTCTGCGTCTGTTTTCTGAAGCCCTCGGAACGAGTATAGAGCGCTATAGGCTCGAGATTTGATGATGCTTAGGCGTAAATCGACTGGGAACATCGGATGGTCTGGCAGTTCTCGGGAATGGTGATGGATGCCCAAGCTGCTGTACAGTTGCTCTACATAACCGGGGGGCAGCGTCAAGTCGCAGTTTTCGTCGGAGAGGACCAGTGGTTGTCCCGTGCGGAGAGCCACGTCCTTCTCAATTGTATAGCAAAGCCAGAATAGATTCCTGAGGTGCCTTTTCTTCCTGCACTCGAGTTGCTCGGCGGGAGATGCGGAAAATGAGTTCAAGGGGCCGGGATAAGTATGGCCACCTAGCATGTATACTATCCGTGCCGCAACAGAACCATAATAGTTTGCTGTACACAGATTTCCAGTCACTAGTTCGAAGAGCGCCTGTGCATTCGTCAGTTCTGTTGAAGGACGATACAATACTCCGTAGAGCCACGCGGCTTGCGCGGCGACCCGCGGGATCCAGGCCCAGCATGACGACTCACCATGATGATAAGTGCCTGGAGACCCTCTAAGCTTGCATCCTCCCGGAGAACCTGCGGGAGGAGACATTGAGCCTTAAGAGCAAGTCCCTCACTGTCTATCGGCGGGAGGCCAAGCGGTCGATCTTTGTATTCCGGAACTTGGAGAATAGAACTAAAGGCAAGGAATGATAGAATACAAGCCCTGATATCTGCTCGCCTGGCGCTTAGACTCGAGTGCGAGTACGCGGCTTTGATGGTGTCAGGAAATAGGATAGGATCCACAATCGGAAACACTCGTTGCATCAGAGTCGTGCGGAAGATGTCTAAATGTACTTCAACCGCATGCCGATCGGGAAGTTCAAACATGCTCTGAGGCAGCATGTTCATCAAATGCCGGTTTGAGCTTAATGCTCGCTGTTTCTCCCATGGTGGGCGGGAATAACTGTTGAGTTTATCCTCCGAAAACTGTCGTCCTGTGCGCGCTTCAATCCATTGCCGACCCTCAGGAAGCAGGAACGGGATCCTTGTCATCAAACTGATGACGCCCAGCTCCCGGCCGGCGAAATGAAACCTCACGGACGAGGACGACACCTGAGGCTGGCTTGGAGGTGAGGGATGTCGTGAGATATCAAGGTCCGAGCTGCCACTGCCGGGCGACAGACTGGCAACTGTCAGGGTAAGTTTCAATACGACATATCGACATGTAGAAGGGGTGCACACCGGATTCTTTCAGTAGGCTCTCCGATAGAAGCTTCTCTATCCTGCTTATTCGCTCCGCCAAACGGGAGCTTTTCTGTTGCCTGGAGCGATATTCAGCTATGGAAGCTCAGCCGCATATCAAAAATCTCCTCTGCGTACGCTGGTTCACTGTTCTCTTTTCGCTTCCTCCGAATCACCCGATCAAACGTGCATGGTATATCATGGTGACTGCACCAATTACATTGTGGTACAGCAGCATCGCATTTGATCTACATCACCATCAATCAATACTCAGCGGAAACGGTTCCGCTTTCCCCGAAAGAAGTAATACCTTCCTCTTGTAACATGAATCGCAAGCCCTCGCAGTTCGCCTCCGAGAGGGCGGGACTCCACGATTCTCCTCCTCGGACCCCACACCTGGCACGGTAGGAGGGTCCATCTGAAATGAGCCTCAGGGCTCTATGGGTGCGCGTTAGAGCCTCTTCGAAATTTAAGCATTAAGGACAAGTCCCCGGCGAGCCGTCCGCGTCGTTAGTGATGACTATTAAAACGGCGGATGTGATGCAGATAAAAAAGTCCGAATCCCGCTGACAAAAAAGAGACGGGCCGGAATAGAGTATCACCGCTTTATCTCCATTTTATTGATGTCGTTTGTTTACTCTGTATCGAGTACACGTACGCTAGATGCTAATGAAAGCAAAGATATTACCAGGTGTATGAGTCGACAACAAATAAAGATGATTAGGTGAGAATCCAGCAAAATCCATTGTTATCTGGACATAACTAGACTGGTTCTCGATGACAACACCGCGAATGATAAGTACGAAATATATCTTGACAAGACCGACTGTTCCAGGATCCATATCATATCATTCATCTACCATTCCCAAAGAAATAAATAAAGCAGGAATATAGAGGACGATAACAAGGTAGTATAAGAACCCATGGTCCGAAACCCTCAAGCCAGGATATCACAGAGAATCAAAACGCGCTTCTTCGTAAGTTGTCCTGATGACCATTAGGCCAATGTCCTGTCTGCGATGAGCATGGATCATCCATACCTTCTCCAGGGAATACTATACATCTACATCACCGTGCAAATGCAGCAATCACACTCTTCGTCCCCGCAGTCACACCCAAAGCATGGTTTCGAGACGGTCTTGATGGGTTTCTTGATGGACGACCCAGAGGCAGAGGACGGAAGAGTCCAGTTGACGGGCGAGGAGAAGGACGAAGCGGCCATTTTCCAGTGGACGGCGTAGAGTGCTATGACGGCGCCAGTAAAGTCAGTAAATGTGACCACAGTTGTTGATGATTCTAGAAGTAAATTTCAGCGTAGAGGACTCAGGTTCGCTTACTGTTGTTAGACAGTTTAGCTGAAGAGGGAGAAGGCTGGAGAATCAGAATCCTAACAATGCCTAAGAGTTGGTCTGGGAGTTGGAGAAGTCAGGAATAAATACTTCTGACAGGCAGCTAAATTTTGGCACTAAAGAAAGAAAGATTCAGATCAGATGAACACTACTCCGTACTGTGAGGAGCAATTAACTTTGTGTATCAACCCAATACTTCCTAAGGAACAGGCTCGACCAACAATTTCCTCGCTACCTTACCGACCGTTGAGATAACCATCCTCCATGCGTAGAACCAGGTCGAACCATCGAAGGAGCTCTGCGCATGGTCCAGCATCCCGATCGTGTCACTTGTTGACGTCCTTTTTCATCTTGCAGATCGCTACCTTATTCTGCCCCACCACAGACGTCATTGGCAACCCAGACACAAAGTACGAAGCACCTACAATACCGATGAGAGTTGTACCAGAAAACAAAAATAACTAATGAGGACGGCGAGTTATATGGTTTTCTGACCGGGATAGATCAAATCCAACGATATTTACAATGACAAACTTTTCTCTCAATTCATAAATCATCGCACATACCCAAACCATGGTGTCTAATTGATTCTTTCCTGCTCAGGGTCTCATCATTTGGAAACAACGAGGGTGCTAACCCTCAATGCGCTCCGGGGTATCGTCTAAGAGTCATCCATAATGTCCTGCTTTTGTGGCGTAGGCTCTATTCATTAAGTATTCGGTAGGTTTGGTTGTGAAGTCATCAAGCCGTTAATATTCAGATGTCGTGCAAGGTGATTACAGCTGCTCAACCCAGGGAGCGGCGCCGGGCTGCATCTGGTTCAGCCACTTGACAAGCTCGATGAGCTCGACACGGCGCTCGTCCTCAAGCTGGTCCGAATCGCCACAAAGGACAGACTGGAAGATGGGCAAGAACTGCGGGGTGAGTTCTCGGATGGTAGGATCTTCCCACTTGTCTACACGCTAGTCAGTAATGTTCTTGCTCGTTTCGGATAAGGCGGGATCACATACACAGCTGGCAGATCATGCGGTACAGGGGCTCGTTCTCCTCGTAATCGTTCTTCAGGGGGAGGATGGAGATGAGAACGGGGAGAACCTCCTTGAGAGGGATAGCCTCACGGTGTTTGAGAATCATACGGCTGAGACATCCAGTAGCGTTGTCCTGAAGGCGAGAGACCTTCATCTGCAGACAGGACTCCAACCGGGAAAGGATGGTAGGGTACTCCTTGACGATCTCAGCGTCTGCGGTGGAGTGCTCGACAAGACGGCCAACAGCATAGGCCGCATTGGACTTGGTCTGAGGATCCTCATCACCCAGGCGGTGAATGAGGAGCTTCAGGAAAGGACGAGTGAACTGAGTGACACCAGCCCCCATACCATTGATGCACTCGGCAAGAACTCCAACGGCGGTGGCACGCTCCAGAGCCTCAGTGCTACCAGCGTAGCGCAGGATGGTCTTCTCGAATACCTTCCAGAGTTCGGCGAAGCTCCCGCCCAGAGCAGCAGCGAGACCGGAAACAACGTCAAGGGCAGTGTCAACAACAACCCAATCGAACTCAGAAGACTCCTCACCGGCCTCGAGAGACTCCTCTTCGGGGCCAAACTCGAGCTGGCAAGGGTGCTTCTTCGTGATGATGTCGGTGACCATTTGGATGACGTTGTGGAGAGTGGTCTCGTTGGCAATCAGAGAAGGACCGCAGTAGCGCAGGTTCTCAGCCATGTTACGGTTGATATCGGCGACAGTAGCCCTATGTCCAATGGTCAATACCAATCAAAAATTGACATGAAAACATTAAGAGCAGTGAAATCAAAGCCTCAGTTTTTCGTTGGAAAGAATCGTGTTTCACATCACGCACGCATTTTGCGCGTCTGAGTGAGCTGGGTAAACGAGTGTGTTCATCATTGGAATGGGCATGCTTCTGCAAAGCAGCCATAGTGTAACATGCAGAAAGAAAAGAAAGAGAATATACATACCGATCATCTTCCTCAGTCCACATCTTGATGGTAGCGGTCATCAGAATTTCGCCAAACTTCTTGACCTCCTTGGCGGGCTCGACCTGCAGAGGCAGACCCGGCTTCCACTTAGCCATCTGGCCGGTCTCTTCGGCAATAGCAAAAAGCATCGCGTACGAGCGGTGCAGAGTGCTGATGGTGCTACGACGAACACCCTCGTAAGGGTGCTCAGCCAGAGGCAGGACCTGCTCAATTGTCTTCTCGAAGTAAGGCAGGTAGGCGCTCTTAGTGTGCGTGACGAGATCGCCAATGACCTCAACGGCAATTTCCTTCTCGAGAGACAAGGGAGTGGTGGCGGTGATGTCGTCCCAAGCATCCTCGTCGTCGAGATCAACGTCTTCGATGCCGCCATCCTCTCCGACGGGCTCATCGTCATCGTCGGCACTGGCAACCTTGACCTTGCGGCCAGCGATGATCACCTCCTGGCCAACAAGGTCCTTGGCGGCCTCACCAAGAGATACGTCTAGGTCAGTCTCGTCTTGCTCAATGCAAGCGAAAAGGCCCTTGACCACACCATCAAGGAAGGGGGCGAAGTGCTCTCCATAAACCTTGGACATGGCTCCCCAGAAGATGTAGGTGCTCTCCTTGAGACGGGAGTGGTCGAGGTGAAGTGCCTCCTCGGTGGCGCGCATGAGGGGCTCGACGTAGGGTTGGTAACGCTCGGCACCGGCGGCAGCGGACATTTCACCCATCGCGTCGGTGACACTAGCGCGCAGGTCCAGTTCCTCCTCACTGTCCTTGACGGTGGCAAACTCCTGCAGGAGGTGCATGGACTCGTCGAAGTAGGGGAGGAAAGACTCGCCGGCGGAGGAGGCAAGGGAGCCCAGAGCTCCGGCAGTCAGGCCCTTGATTCTGAAGTCGGGATGCTTGAAGAGCTTGTGCAGGATGGGAACAAGCTCGCCCTGGTAAGGAGCGACGTCTTTCTCGTCCAAGCCATCAACAACGGCATCAATGGCACTGATACCGGCCTTCATGATATCGATAGTGGGGCCATCCTCTTCACCCTTGTACTCCTGCATAGCGCTGGCCAAGTTCTTGAAGAGCAGAGGCATGAGCTTTTCGTGCTCAGCACTTAGGTCTTCAGCGAGGTCATCGGCAAGACGAGCCACGGCGTGCAATGAGGCTTGGCGGACCTTGGGTTCGGGATCAGCGAGCAGCTGCAGAACCATGGGGAAGATGTCCTTCATCTGAGTGCTGATGAAATCAGGAGCGCCCTCAACACACATTCCAAGAGCCATGATACCGGCACGGCGGTAGTCAGGGTTGCTGTTGTTGAAGTACTGACCCAGGGCGTGAAGAAGGGGCACTACAACTTGGCTGGGAGGTAGACTCTGGGCGAGCATATCAAGCAATCCGAGAGCGGACCGGGCAGGAGTGATATCGTCATCGTCCGAGGAAGTGTCACCGAGCTCGGTGACGATGTGCAGGGCGGTGCGGGTGAGCTGCTCGCCAATGCGCATGCCCTGGATCTTGAGCTTACGGTACTGAACGCACTGCATGAGGAAGCTGATTGCCTGAGTACGAGTATCCTCGTCAACCTCGGTGTTGGCAGCAAGCTCGTTCATGAAGATAACAAGGTCCTTAAGGTGGACAGTCAGGAGAGCAGGGTCACAGCCAAGGAGAGTCTGGAAGACCTCAAAGGCTTGCATTACACGGTCCTCCTGCTTCTGGTCGATCGAGTCCTTCAGAACAGCGACCATAGAGGGAACGATATCCTGGAAGGCCTTGACGGGAGCAGCATCCTCCTCAGAGTCAAGGTGCATGGCGAGCTTGCTCAGGGCGAGAAGGGTATTGATGCGAACTTCCTCGCTCTCAGGGTCGCGGATGGTCTTGTTGAACAGGGCAAAGAGATCCGAGAACTTCTCCTCGAGGCTCTCACCTAGAGTCTCGAGAATGGTGAACAGAATGTAGATAGCCACGCCACGCTCATCCTTGTTGGCACTGTTACCAGCCTGCACCAGGAAATTGGGGAGCTCGGCCCACTCGCCATCGTTCAGGTCGACCCGAGCGATGGCAGAGATGATCCGGGCAATGGAGTGACGGACGAGCGAGGAGCCCTCGCTCATCGTGGAGCGCAGCAGCTGCTCACGGATCTGAGGCTTCTGGGCACCCTGGACGGAAACCCAGTGCTTGTTGACCAACGAGCGAGCCTCGACAGCGGCAAGCTGCCTCAGATTGGGATCCTCATGACCGGTGGCGATCTGAACAAGGAGAACGAGAGACTCAGGCTTGTTGTAGAACTCCCGCTGAAGGATACCAGTTGCTTCCTTAACGTTGCCCTGGGCAGCTATTGTGTTCTCGTCAGCATCACACCTGTCTTTCCAAAGCCACTCGCCGGGTTAATGGATGCTACTCACGGTTCAGAACAATTTGAAGCTGCTGCAGGAATCTTTGCTGGTCCATGATGGAAAATATGAATAAAACTTTGTGGGAAAAAAAATATGTACGCCTCTCAAATGTGGGGTGTCACAACCCTTCTTTAACAGCAAGAAGGGATTCTTGTAGGACTAATTGAGCTGCCTGCACGGAGACAAACAGCTCAAAGGGGTATCACAGAAACAAAAGAAAGGATAGAAACACCAAGAAAAGGAATGAGGAGTAAAGGAAAGGAGAGATGAGGGACACTCAGGAGAAGAAGATATGAAGAGGGAAAAAAAAAAAGTTCTCACTAAGGGGTGGGCTGTTTGGATAATTTTTCTCATGGCTCCTCCGCTTTTACTTCCTTCAGGTTAGCGGCATTTGCTATCACGTGGTCTGTTCCGCTCTGGTTGTTCACAAACGGTGGATGCACCACATCGAAAAGAGCACCTATTAGTAGACAGGTAAGAAGTACCAACTGGCTGGAGTAATAATGTTGCTGCCCAACTAAGGACCAATAGA